TTTTAGCGGGCCTGCTGAACAAGCCCTACAGGAACCAAAAGTACAGCGCAGCTCAATTTGCTGTCGCAGAGACAGAGGCCAACAATCTCTCGCCCTTGCAACAGTAGCGCAATACTTAGCGGGTTCCTGCATGGAAGGCATCTGACTGCCCTATCCAATAAAGATCAACTGACGGCAATTGAAAACAGGGCAGAGATATCACGCAGCTCTAACGCATGTGGCAACAGCAGTAGCCGGCAGCTCCTGCAAAGAGCAGGTAAAGCCCGCTTCGGCAACGAGAGTTTGCTTTAGCTGCTTGTTGTCAGCTCACTTCGCACAAGCACCAAGAAATATCAGGCCTCCACACTGCGACCAAAAGTTTCCCATATACCGAAACCTGGCATATTATGGCTATTGAAGCCCCTGGGTATCTAGAGAGACAGGGGTCATGTGAGGGCAGATATCGGCTTCATCATGATTGGGGTTCCCCACTATTCTGCCGGTCTCTAGTGACTTTTCCCTAATCTGGAGGGCATGGGCAGCATTGTATCGAAAGCCTACTATTTGTGATAAATCGGGTAGGCCCTGCGAAGCCTCTCGCCTTGAATGCCCTAACTCCTTGTAGGGCCGATCGACTTGCTTTCCTGCAATTGTGCTGACCACGTTGGTGCAGAACTGAGGATCACTGTCTCACCTGTGGCTCCATACCTGGCCCTAGTAACAACGCAAGGCTCGGCCACCGCTGGGCTGGATACAGCGGCGTCGATCAGGGCTGAATCCACTTAAAGGAAGAGGAAGTAGGGGCCCTCAACGTGCAGCTGGTTGCCTAAGAAAAAATCGAGAATGCATGGAGCTCCACTCCGAGGTGACGAGGAAGTCAGCGTGCATTTTGAGGGGTACTGCTGCCCGTAGTGGTGCAGGAGAACATACGATTCCAACCAGAACACATGGTCTGCGCAGTTTTGGAGAATAGCACCATAAAAAAATTACTGCCCTTGATATGTTTACTGGCGCGGTAACTCACCGCCAGGAGAATCGTAAAGTGTAGGCTGCTACGCCATAAGGACTACAATAATAGGACCCAAACATGTAACGAAATAGAGACTATTTGAGATATAGGTCCTCTTGCTGCCACTCGCTGCATAGCAACTGCGTACGGTCTACTTTAACGAGTGAAATAGCACACTGCTGTGGCTGTCCAACTTTTGTGGCCGCTTGCCGTTCCTTCGTCAACAAGTAGTTCCCCCCATGGCCCCCCTTTCGCCATCTGGGGTGCAGTTTGCTGCGGCGCAAGCAGCACGGGAGAACTGCTAGAAGCACGCAAGAGCAACCTGGATAGGCCGAAGCAGTAGCAGTACCTGCTGCTGTGCCATGAACACCGAAGTGCTGATACATTGCCTTCGCTACTAATTGCCGAAATTTGTCCCCTGCGTGGCTGCTTTAGAGACAAGCTGCTACATATAGTGGATGGACGACTAGTCATCTGAAAATAGCGAAGAGATGGGGGATGGGAGATTTTCGCTTCCTCGCTAAAAGCTGCCTTGGTTCCTACAAAACCTGAAGGCTTCTTCTCGAGCCACAACTACCGGAGCAAATGATGCCCTTGCTACTGCTCCTGTCGTTCGATTTTCCTACTACTTTCACAAAGGAGATGAGGTACAGTACAAAATATAGGCCTTACGAGCGTCAGTTACCCATGTGAAGACTTCTCAGCGTAACTGACGCCCCCCTACTGCACAGATGAGCAGCAAATCCAATGTGAAAGGCAGACAAATGAACAAGTGAAAATGCCCAAATGTGAATGCTGGCACTTTCTAGTTCCTTATAAAAATCTATACCAGAAAAAGGCACACAAGCAGCGGCACCAGAAGCAATTCCACTGCTGCTGTACCCTCATGAAGGGCCACAAATCGAGGGCCAAGCATGAGGAGTCCCGCTCCTCCTGACACTCACGTTCCTCGTAACGTGTGTCTCCATGACACCATATTCCAAGTTCAATTTATGAGTGGGTCTTCAAGGCTGCTGCTGTTGTCCCTCCAGTAACAACTGCTGCGTCTGCAGCTCTCGCCGCTCCTTCTGCTCTTGATATTGCCGTTGCTGCTGGTGTAAGACCTGCTGATCTAGGGGTATGGGTTCCGCGTCCTCCAGTAGCGCTGCAGCCGCAGATGGTAGCAGGTGCCGGAAGATCCGCCAGCCTCTGCCCTTCGGCAACAGCTCCCACACAAACTGCTGCGCTAGCAGCAACGGCCTCGAGCGCAGTAACAGCAAAACAGGTGCAGCAGACAACAACATCAGCTCGCGTCTCCGCTGCTGTTGTCGTTGTCTCGCCGATTGTGTTGCAGGTGCAGCATGAGCAATGAGCTGCTGCAGCAGCAGCGAAACAGCTGCTACATGGAGCAAAGACTTGGGGTGTACCTGCACCTGCAAAAGCAGCTGCCGCTTAACGTAGTCTCCCAAAGTCCGTGGCGATGAAGGGAAGAACTCAACTTCCTCACCCTCCCGGTGCTGCAACTTCTGCTCATGCGGTTCTACAGATTTTTGCAAAGTCTGGACAGTAGCGCTCAGCTCTTCACTGCTCTGCAGTGGATCATCAGAGCCCCCATAGGCAGCACGATTGATTGCGGCAGCAGCTACGGCAGAAAGCTTCTGGTCTTGTCCGGGTGTCGAACCTACAGAAGCGTTACTGGGAGCTCCTTCCCTAGCTAGGATGTCGGCTTCCTGCTGTAGCAGAGCAGCGATTCGCCCTGCTGTGTCTCCTGCTGCGATATAGGCTGCGATTTCCTCAGAGTCGCTGCAGATGTTGCTACTGTGGACGCTACTGCCGGGTGCATCACCTGGAGTGTCCGGGTCTGGTGCTGGGGGGATAGCAATGTCCCATATTAGAGAGACAGCTCTCTTCGAATGCGTCCGAACAGCAGCGGCTGGACTAAAGCTGGCAGCATCATCCTCTGATGCTGCTGATGCTGTGAAAGCATCCGCCTGCATCAGCTGTTGCAATGTCTCGTCCCGGGACAGCAAGCGGCCCCCATGCAGGAGCCGCAGCAGCGTCAAAGGCGGAGGTGGCTGGAGCATCTGCTGAAGCGCGTGCTGCACCTCTTCGATTGTCGACGAAGAAGGTAACAGTAGTTCCCACTGTCTGTCTAGACATTTCACACCGGTTGCTGTCACTACAGAGACGCGTACTTGGCTATTTATATCATGGCTACGAGGAACGGCATTGCCGCCCCGCAACAGCAGCAGCGAAGAGATACTTGTGCTTGGTTGCTGCAGACCTCTGTTTGCTGCTACCAGTGCTGGTAGTGCTGTGGTGGGGTCCAGCAGGTGGCGCGATGCAGTTGCTGCTGTTGCAACTTCTCTTGATTCGGTTGCTCTTCTCGTTGCGGGGCAACGCGCCTGCTGTGGGTAAATCTGCATGCCATGTGTTGCATCGTCATGCAGAAGCAACAACAGCAGCAGTAGGATGGACTTCTGCCTCAAGGACTTAGCTACTCGACAAACAGCAGCCCCAATAAAACGAACAGTTGGGGGCACTGTTGGGGTTTTGCGGGGGAGAGTCATTCTGCCGCGCAGCTCCGTCCCGCCTGCTAATTATATGCTGCTACTGAAAAGGCTGAACTACAGTGTCTGCTGCACGTCTGCTGCATCTGCTGCTGCTGCGCCTTGTCGGGAGATCCACCAAGCCATTTAACGTCCCTTTGGGTGTGCAAGGGCGAGTGCCGCTTGCATGTTGTAGGGTACTACACTTGCATCTTGAGGAAGAAGTGGTGTCGAATAACAACAAGACATTGACGAAGGTTCACAGTGCACCTGTCGCGGCCAAGGTCCGATCCCAGGTGCTGCTCATGATGCGCGTGGTACTGCTACTGCTTATGTACATGGGGAAGCATACTTAACAGGAGACCGCAGACACTTCGACATGAAGCCGCTATTGCTGCCCTTCTGTTCATTTCTAGGCTGTTGCCAACACTGGTCATAGATTACCTGCTCCCACTAGCTCCTTAGCATCGCAGCAGGTGCTGCTGCTCTTGCTGCAGCTGCTGCTGTTCAAGCGATGGCAGCTGCAGGAGCAAAGTGGCGTTTCTTCTCGAGTGTGCAACTCAGACATAAGTTATCTGTGTAGATGCCTTAGTTTAATTTAAACAGAAATCAACTTTTAAGGCTAAAGCGATTAAAGTTATTGGATCTACGACCTGCTGCTGATGTAGCAGCTGCTGCTCCTACGGCAGCTACTGTTGCCGGCATCTCGCTGCAGCAGTCGTCTGCATTCCTGGGAAGCTGCAGCAGTGGGAACCGGAGCATATCGAGCAACAGATGGTGCTGCTACCGTTGATTATTAGAAGTTTTCCTGAATAAGCAGTATTCGCCGTGCGTTTTGATGGTTGCTGTGCCAGCTCTTGCTGCTGCTACAGGAGCAGCAGCACCCGTTGCAAGCAGAGCACAACGGCAAGATAATTGCCTAATGGCACTGCGTTTACAACCCTTTAATTCATAGAGGGCTTGGAGTGGCACAGGGATGCAGCTACTATCTCAATTGGTGGCTAGTGGTCTCAAGCAGGAGGAAGCAGCAACTGCAACCGCAGCTGTGGCGACAACGGTTCAGCAACAACACTGCAAGGGCAGTTCTCCCTGCAGAATCTCTTTTCACCGCAGTTCTACCACTCACTGCTACTGTTATTACCTCCAGGACACGTCAGCCGCAACCTATCACTCCTAGCCTCCGCGTTCTTGCTACAGACTGCATGCGCTAGCCATGCTTAAACTGAGCATCATACGCGCAGTCGGCCTCACTTAGGCTTTGTAGTGGCAGCGTGTCTTGTCACTACGGCAAAAGGAACTGTACCAACGGAAGGACAACACAAAGACCGCAGAAGTAGCTGCGGCAGCAGCAACACATGCAGTGGTTTTTCCGCCGGTGCTGCTCTACGGCCATTGGATTCGTGTGTGTTTTTAACGCATATAGAGACACGAAAATAGTGTCATAAGCTTTCCCTGCTGCGGCCTGGGATCCACTGGTGTAAAAGATGGCGTGCCTCAGTTGTTGCAAGGGAAGTGCCTCCAAAGCCAAGTCCCTTGATGCTTCTGCTACTGATAAGAAAGGGGAGGAGCAGCGGTACCAGCATGACACCACTGCTGCACCTAAGCATGGCGCAACTGCGGGAGATACCTTGACTTTTGCTGGGGGTGACCAGTCGCCTGAGGCAGCGCAGATTAACGGAGCCACACAAAGTGCAGCAGTAACTACCACAGACAAGAATGAATGGAATAGGCAACAGCTTCAAGAACAGGTGCAGCAGCATCAGATTCCGATGCTGCAACAGACGCAACAAGGAGAAGTGCTGCAAGAGCAGCAACAACAGCAGGAAGCTGCTACGAACGCAGCAGCAGATGATGACAATACAGAGTTCCATTCAGCGGTAGAGGCCCCCTCCCCTCCCCAAATAAGTATCACCCCTATCGCTGCAGGCGAGCAGCACATGCGCCAGCAGCAGCAAATGGAAGCAGCGAAGGACCTTCCTACGCGATCCCATAGTCCTGTTTCTGCTGAATCGTCGCCACCTGCTGCTGCAGCCACTGCCCGAGCATCAGAAGCACCACAGTCAGAGGCACCAGTTTCAGCGTCAGCAAACGCACAAGGGGAAGGACTGTCGGCTACGCTTTCTCGTATAATGCAGCAAAGCCTCGAAGACCCTGGAGGAGTCTGGAAGCGACTCGTCACCTGTCTTACCCCCGGAGGGTCTTCCGCTGCCACCGATCAGGCGGTACCGACTTCGCAAACGCCGGAAGCAGCAGAAACAGTAGAACCAGGGGACGCTACTTTACTCCCACGCACCCCTCGTGCTGGGCGAACAGAAAACGCCTCAGGAGAGCACACCGACAATGTTGATGGCGTTTCACCCGTCCCCGGAGAAACAGAAACAGTTCCTTCATCGAACAAGTGCTCAGATGAATCGTCGTTTAAAGGAGATCACGTCCCGGATTCCGCCGAAGCAGCCATTTTGCTGAAGCAGGAGGAACGTGCAGAAGCCGTGGAGTTCAGCACCGGAGACCCTACAGCTGACGGTGCAATCGCGGAAGCAGCAATAGTGGCAGCGGTAGCTGAGGGCCAGAGCAGCACCAGTGTCAGCAAGCTGCGGTCGCGGGCGCAGAGCACGAAGATGAGTCTGGAACAGGTTCTTGCAAAGAAGTGGAAACAACTGATGTTTTACGTTGAAGAGGAGTTGTTGTTTAAGGCGTACCAGTACTTGCTTAATGTGGAGCAGCAAGTGGAGCAACGGCAGCTGCTGCTGCAACAGAACCAAATGGATGAACAGCAGCTGTTGACCGCGTTTCAGGATCAGTTGAATGGGGACCAACGTATCGTAAACCTCAGGGCTAAAATTGCTATCGCCCTGACAATGCTCGATCAGTTTCACTTGGGGCAACTGCGGGCTATTTGCGAGGACCCAAGGCTATCCTTCACGGACTCCATAGGCGCCCTTATGCAGCATTCAATCTCTTGGGGGGGTTCCGCTTCTGCGGTCGGAGCTTCGCCACCTCTTCAAATCACGCAGCACCGAGATCCCTCGAAGACTGCTGGCCCCCACGGGGGTCCTCAAGGGAGCTCACATGCCGGCCCGCAGGGAAGCCCACAAGCAGGCACACAGGGGGGGTCGCTCATGGGCGCTCGTCCTTTGGTGGTGGGCAGCAGTAGCAATACAGATGGATTAGTCCCTGAGAGCAGTGCTCCCGCCGCCGGCGACAGCTTCAGGAGCAATAACAGTGCAACTGACGGCGGGGCCCTGCCGGAGAGGAAGGTCAGTGCTACCAAGATTAAGATGGGTTTGCGAAGTATGGGTAGGAAAATGTCGCTCACAAGGCGCACAAGTTTGAACAGCAGACGGTCTAGCACGAAGAAAATCCTTACGCTCAAACATAGCTCCGATGAGGAGGGATGGATCAGAGAAAAGGGTGAGACAGCTTATTGATGAGCTCAGCCTGCTGCACCTCTTGCCGTCGGCGTGCTCTTGTGATTTTCTGGCTGTGTGGAGGTTCCTATGTTCGTCTTCCAACCCGTGGGCTCCCGTCCCTCGCTTCTTCTGTCCGTCGTTGACTTCTTTATGCATAACGTGGCTTACTCCTACCTCATTTCGCTTATGCAGAATCCCGTTGCCGTATCGCCCTGGCCTCTTTCTTCCTTGCACTTCATGCCGTGCACTGCATCGCTTTCCCTTAATATTATTTCGTTGCCTTTGCTTTTTCGTTTAGTATCTCCTTCCTGGCATTTTTCCATAATATCTGCCTTTGACTGTCTGTTCCAACTGTGCCGTTCATTGTCAACATATACACGTGTCACCTTGTATGGTTGTTAGCACGTGGGTCCGTTGGTTGCATTCTTTTTTTTGTCTGTGTGGGTCGGTCCTTGCAGTTATCAAGTGGATCCCATATATCTACCTCGGGCTTTGCGGTGTCCACTGTCGTTGTCTCAGGAAAGTATTTGGATCTTTCCTACCGCGTTGAAAAGGACACCTCTGTCTCTATAAAGGTTCGCGGGAAGCTGCCTTGCCGTCTTTTTCAGGTGCTATCTATCTTAAATGAATCAGACTTGGCAGGCAACTGGGCGCCTATGTTCAAGTCGGCAGAGAAAGTGCACACATACAGCAGGGCATCGCAGCTCATCAGACAAGTCTTTGACTATCCTTTGTTAGGGGCCAAAGAGACGATTATGTATTCATTCGGAGCCAATGCGCTGGAGGAGTGTGGAGCCGTCATCATTTTCTGCCGATCCCCTCCGGAGGGGGCTACTGAATTTATGGGAAAGCCCATCCCTAAGAAAGGGAAGGTCACCCGCATCCAGAGCGCAAATCTTGTGTTTTTGCTCTACCCAATCTCAGAAGGGAAGCAGACCACTCTGGAGCTCTACGGTAACTTCTTTCACGGGTTGCGCTACGTCCCGATGCGCATCATCACATACGTAGTGAAGAAAGTGGTCAGGGGCATGTTTGTCTCCATAGCCAAGCAGTGCCAACACTTTGCTACCTCCCTTTACAAAGAGAGAGTGGAGGCCAATCCAGACTTCTACTGCTGGATGAGGGACTGTATCGAGGACTTTGTTGCGGGGGAAACAGCGCACCACTTCAAGCAGCTTGAATCCATTTCTCTATGCTCATTCAACTACGAGGAGTTCCAGGACTAACAAACGTCGCTCTTCAGGAAGTTAGCCCAAGGGCGCCCTTAATGTATCCGCATACATGGTTCCCGTTTTTTGCAGCATAAGCGCTGATGGGGGTTGAAGTCTAGCAGGGGCCCCGCATTGGCAGTCTAGTGCGGATCACTTGCGGAGGTTATGTGCGACTGACCTGAACGAGCCAAAATAGATAGCCACAACCTCATATAGCTGCCTTCGCGAAGCAGCGGACCCCATGCTGCAGGAGAGGCTGTGCTCCAGAGCGTTGAGGCTTGAGGCCGCCAACTAAACTACGAAACGACGCCAATATCACCGGCCTACGAAGGTGCAGCTACTCAAACCTCTGAGAAGAGACAGTAATGCAACACGTGTATCGTAGTGATGCCTGGCAGTCTTGTTAGTAGAAGCTCAAAACGGGGCTGTATGCATTTGTAGAAAGGGGCTAGTGTCACGCTCGATATATAAATCCTTAGGGCGAGACTTCGTCCCAAATCCAATACAAAACTCACTAGAATGATGTCAAGTGTCCCTTTAAAAAGGGCTTTCTCCTTCCACTGCCCTCGCTTCTCAGTGTTTTGCCATAAGGGGAGATGGACAGCTAAGAAGCGCGTCGCTACACCGTCTAAGCGCTCCGAGCATTTACAGCTAGCAGAACATAATCTCTACCGCATACCCATACAATTTTCTTCTCGTGTTCGTCTCCCTCTGCTCTCCAACGAACGCGGCATGCGAGTAGCCAAACCATCAAGTGTTTTGCGATCTCTTAATCAGATTACACTTGTGTTGTACTACGCATCAAAGTATAGCTTAGCTTGCTGCAGGTATACCCAACGCATCGTTCTTAATGGCGTACAGGGGGGGCAACCAGCTACCACCTGTAACCTACACAAAACATTTTCGGGAGTCACATTCATTCACTCGATTAAAGAGCAGACAATATAGAACAAATAGCGAGGAACTACACCTGTCCCATCTAATATACTCTTTAAGCATGCAAACGACGTATTTAACTACAATGTGCTAATCACACACTGGTCTATAGGGTAATAAATCGGTAGGAGCCTTACTGCACCTCAAGCCCTCAGTAATACACATCATGCTTGGTTGCCGTACTGCTCCTGCTGGAATCTGCACAGAGAGAGCTTGGGATAAATGCACAAGTTGTACAAGAGCGCAATATCTACTCTTCTTCAAAGTCACTTCTTCATTGCTTGCAATATCCTGACTTTCCTGCCAACTGGAAGGAAAGGGAGCAGGACTGCAAATAGGTGCATCTTCTGAGCCATCCTGCAGCCAGCTATGCTACATTAGGCACCTCAATATGCACTGAACATTTGATTCAGATATAGTAGAGGCTTTGCTTGTTGGCCCTAGTGTCCGGATATTCATTTCTAGCAGAAGAGTGTTTGTAAGGTTGCAGTGTTGCGTGCGTGTGCCCTAGATGCCAAGTCTATTCAGCTGTGGGTGCTCGAAGCGCTTGAGTAGTGCAGCAAGCAGCATCAAAGCGGTTTTTTTCTTCCTCGATATCAGAAGCCCGGAGGGGCGTGGGCAAGGAGAAAAGGGATACTTTTTAGATACAATCAACAATTATCTACGAAGCTTGTGTTGCTTCTAAGGTTGGAGAGTCTCTTTACGGATACCTTAAATAGACGGTTACAGGTGTTAGCACAATCTCAGACAGAAAAAGCCTTCGAAAGATGGACGTTGACTGCTGCACACGAAGTGCTGGGGCAGCAAGGTCCAACGTGCAAGCAGATTTGAGCTCAATAGGTCCATAGCTGGGAGAAAGGCATACCTTGTTGGCCAACACAATGCTATCAGATATGCAGAACCACAAACAGCATTACGGCCATAAGCACGGCCAAATACTCCAAGGTTTTATAAAGTTGTTGGACATGTAACTCGATTTGTACCCCAGAGATGAAGAGAAACAATAACTGCTCCTAGCGTGCTTACTAGAGGAAGAAGCGCTTTAACTGTGGCCCTATTCGTGCACAGGATATTGTCTACTCGCAATGACAAATGCAGTTCAAGCCTTTGTGCAAGCTCCGACTCACCGGGTTATGCCGAGATCACCTTAACAACAAGCTTCGCGAGAGGTGAAAAATCAAAACAGTAAAATATATGAGGTGTGTCATCCGATAATTTTGGAACATTTCTTTGCAAAGGCCACAAAGTGGACGAACACCTTTATCAGCAGCATAAATTAGGTCTATTCAAAGCATGGCGTTAGGTTGTCGCAGGATGGGCAGACACAGCAGCCGACTGGTAGGGCTTCCACAAATAGTGAACTGCTTGAGGTGTGCGGAGCACATGGACACAAACGCTAAATTCTTGGTTGACATTAGGGAGCCAATTAGAACTTGCCATATATGATTGCCGGGACTGTGGCGACCCGTACTAGCCTAGAGTATATAGGGAACGAGAATAGAAAATAAGAGGCAATCTGTACTACCAAGAAGCTCCACACAGCCTTCCAGCAAACCTGTTTCTCCTTTTAAAAATTGATTCAGATAGTCTGAAACCGCAAGCGCCTGCAAGAAGCCAAAGAATTCGAACCAGATTATTGGGCTGGAAGGAAGCACACTGCTTGAAATGCAAAGAAAGCCATCAGGAAAACGGAAGGCCTTCCATTCAGGCTGCAAAGCGGTAAAGGGAGCTATGGAGGATACTGTCGCAATTGGAGACCCACCACGGCTCAATTCTGCCTACAAGTTGACGCTTATGGTTAAGAACTACTAGCGGCAATCGACACTGGATGTGAAGCGGATCTGGTATCCGTGGAAACGGGGAGGAAGTGCAATATGCCTAATCACAATGTAGTGCAGTCCCTGAGATTCACGTTTGCTGACCGGTGGCAACTTGCAACGACTGGCAGGGCTCTGGCAACTCCATGCCACTTAAACTCGAAATTGGGTACCATAGAGGTGATTTGAGACTTCCATGTTGAACTCGTGCTACATAAAGTAATCATAGGCATGCTTTGGGCGACCACATGGAAGGCACCCATGCGGCCACAGCTGCGCGGTCTGGACGTTAGTGTGCCAGGAAGCACTGGGATGACTAACCTCGTGGTGTTCTCAACAATGTCATTGAATCTATGTTGAGCGAGGTAGATTCAATGCCTAAACAAGGTAAGGCAGAGTTCACATGCGGGTAGTTCAGCAGTGCAGTAGGAGAAGACCGTTGTAAACAAGTGTACCATCCAGCTATGCAGCTAGCTTTTTGATAGGAAATTCGATGAAACATTAAGTCAAGAAACAGCAGGAATGGTCAACTGTAATGGGCCTCGTGGATGTGCTAAACAGTGATGAGCCTCCAGGTGGCTAGACACTTATTATTAGTATGGTTCTCCATGTAAAGCTGATCTCCCGGTTACTCCCCAGCTATGTTCGGCAGTATCGAAAGACCAAACGCATGAGAACGCAATTTATCGGTAGTAATACCATCTTGTGCCTTGACACCCATGCATCCGCTACTGTTGCCAAAATCCAAATTGGTCAAAGGGTACAGGACTACCACGTTGAGGATGCTATGGTGTGGCTCAAAACATAGCACGGATGCCAGGGCCTCTGTAGTCCGGCTTGACTCTGCGGTGTTGGTTTCCCAAAAAGAGGCTCATGCGCTTTCGAACTATATCGGGACTCACAACGCAATGGGATAGCTCTGAGGGTTCTTTAGTGGGCTGGGATGCGCTTCGCGGCGGAGACTATGCACTGCAATGCCCACATTGCCAGCAGTTGAAGTGCGCCGTTATGCCTACCCCGGTGTTTTGACAAGCCGGTATGTTCCCTGAAGGATTTGGACTGATCTTACTCTGAGCTTTGATGATGAATACCCTAGGTCAAAGGTCGGGAGAGCATCTACATCCTGTTCGAGGATTCTGTGAACATCTCCACTTAAATCCTTGCTCTAGCTCTGTCGTTGCTCAGTTAGTCTGACTCACG